GAAGATTTTCACCATGAGCTCATCCAGGAGGAACATGTTCTGTGAGTAAATGATTGAAGGCAACCAGCTGGTTTTACTGAGATAGAATCGCCTTACCTGTCTGATTGGATTTTCTCTGTAAAGTGCAGAGAGGATATATGTTGTGAATTGGTGCTATATAAATAAATTACAGGCAAATTAAAGCATTCAGGCATAAGCATAAAGGTTTATAAGTAAAATCATTTATAAATACAATGATGTATGAATGAAATGTGAAATTAAATTATTTTAGAATAACCAGGGAAAACACAACTACATAAAAATCTGATTGTTACATTTGAAAAAGGATATTGGAATAAGAGTAGAAAATGGGGATCTATTTCCACTATTTCTTGTCCTTATATTGATGTTTCAAAAAGAATAGAAAGTTAAATTGGGGTTTACAAGCAGCAAAATGAAAGGAAAAGAGAAACATGCTGATTTCTAAGGTAGAAAACTTGAAGACAGCGAAAAAAGTAAAGAGTAGAAAACCTTAGAAGAACCCCAAATGTACAGGGGTGTGAAAACGTATTTGCCATCTTTTCTAATCTCTTGTTATTTCATGTTTGTCCAACTTCAGTTTTTCTTTCAGAACATCAAATAAACTGAATGTTAGTCCAAGACAACAGAAACTGAACAGAAACTGCTGATTTTAAATCAAGATTTTCATTAATTAGGGTGAAACTGTACTGTATAGATGACTAACCTTCTGCTCTCTCTGCTTTTCCTCAGAGTAGCTTTGCCTCGTCTGTTCCTGTTTGGCTGTGACGTCATCCTGGAAAGAAACATCAGCTGTGCTGCTTCTATCAACACCCTTGTCTATAGATGTTGGAGATGGGCCTGTTTTCCAGTGTGGTCCTGTTTCTCTGACCGTGACTGAGTGGATGTGCTCTCTTCGTCTTCTGGCATGGGAGCTGCCTTGGAGCTCGTCTGCCTGGCTGCGTGTTTCCTGGACGGGGCCGCCTTTTACAGCTGCTTTTTGTATCTCTGCTTCTGTCTCCTTGAACCCCAGTCGGCCTCGGCAGATGGCCGCTCACACTGAGCCTGGTTCTGCTGGAGGTTTCTTCCTGTTAAAAGGGAGTTTTTTCCTCTCCACTGTCGCTACAAGCATGCTTAGTGTGGGGGATTGTATTTGAGTCAATGAGTCAATGCAATCAACTGGTTTTCCTTAGATAGAAAACTTTGTATCAATTTGACTGTATGATCTAGTTGAACTGTAAAGTGCCTTGAGATGACATGTGTTGTGAATTTGGCGCTATATAAATAAACTGAATTGAATTGAATTGAAACCCAGGAGTCAATGGAGTTACCACAGCGTAGAGGGTAAATAGTTGCGTTCAGCGCCCTGTTCTGTAGACCAGCCTGTCCTCACATACTGCAGGCGGCCTGTAAGGTAGTCCTACTTTATCCAGTGGGACAGGTGGTGGTTAACTCCTCAGCATTTGTTTCTCCCTCAGCATAAAAATGAGCGAAGACCAAAGAAAGCTCTCGGTTTACGGTGTGCCATATTCCACTGCTGTAGCACTTTCTCCAGCTTCAGACTCTTGGTTCATTAATTATAATTAATAGTAGGGATGGAACGGTTTATGAAAACCGTCCGAACCGTTCGGTTCGACTGTCTCGGTTCGGTTCGCGTGTGTTTCGTTCGGTTCATGCGCTGCTCCTTTTTCTCATAGGCGAAGCGTTTACACTCCAGAGCAGAAGGTGGCGGTACTGCGACCAAAGCCAACCACCAGTAGTAAACAAGAAGAAGAAGCAGCGAAGCAGCGTAGCCGGGTGTAGCAGGAAAAAATCAGTTGTTGTGGAGAATTGTGTGGGTATGGCGAGTGGGAAAGAACAGGAGTTGGAAGACGCGCCAGCAACACTTTATAGGTCTGCTGTATGGGAGCGCTTTGCATTTAGAGTGACCTACGATGACGGCGGAAAGAAAGTTGTGGATAAAAGTGCAACAGTGTGCAAGCATTGTGCAACATGTTTTGTTTATGCTAACAGCAACATGACCAACATGTCATGCTAACCTAGCCTGGGTGCCATTCTGAACTTAGTCCCGCCCACAACGTTTGAGGTCGGGAAGTTCGGTCTGGCGTTGCTCAATATTAGCGCGAGTATCCTCGCACAATATCTGGCGGGCCAATCAAATTGTCAGGGCGGGCTTTATATGATGATGGACAGATGATCAACAGAAACGTAATCAACCACGTCACAAAAGCGCGCATGGGTGACAACAACAATGGCTGCCGCTGGAGAGTTGAGGTGTGTAGATTCTGCTATTAGGTCTGTTCTAGAAGATATCGACAGCAAATTAATTTTAAAAGAGGAACAGAGAAACGCGATCAAGGCTCCTCTTCTTATTCTAGGCGTGCAACTGCACGCTTTGATTTTTGTTGACAACAACTATGCATCGCTTAACATACGTCACGCACTCCGTTGCTCTTATTGGTTGTAGGTCTATCCAATTGATTGCAGAGGCATTTTATTTCCTGGTCGTTCCAAACACGCCCAATAATCACAGCTCTATGGAGCAGTATCAGACTCATATTCTGACTAGAATTGAGTAGGACTACGTCAGGCTAATGCTAACCCCGAAATCCCTCATACTCCGTCAGTGCTCCGCTTCGCCCCGCTGCGCTCCTGACCGCCTGCACAAAGCAAAGCCTACAGCCTCCGCTGTGGCTCCCGTCCGCTCCGCTCTGAGTTCTTTGGAGATGGTAGAGGGCATGCGCCAGATGATTAAATTCAAAGCAGCAAAACATGCGGAAATGATCCAGGGTTTCCGCGGATCATTAAAAATAATTACAATTCATTATTTTTTGTGTGATTTTTTTTCATTAATTTCATAATTTTTATTAATTATTTTATTTTTCGGTGTAAAAATAAACATATACCGAACCGAACCGAAAACCGTGAACCGTCCACCCCTAATTAATAGTAATTAATTTTAACTAACTTGGTTCCATCATATTTAATTTAGGAATTTTTGAATAAAGGAGACTAAAAGACCTGACTGTGAAACTTGATTTTTTTTAATATAGGTATATAACAAAAATTCTATGAAGGTGTTACTTTATGCTGGAGGCCAGGGGCGATTCTAGGATCCCAGGTTTAGGGTGCTGAGCACCCAGGCAGCTATGTGGACAGGCATGATTCATTTCACTGTTTTCTATATACATATTCTACATTTTTGAAACTTGATCAGTGCCTTTTGCCAATAACTGACTCTATCATTCACTAACATGTCGTATCTGAGACTTTTTTATTCCTGTTTTTTTGTCCTCTAGTACCCAAACCTACTTGGCTTACCCTTTGCTCCTCTCCTTCCCCTTGTGAACTTCTCCTTCTTTTCACTGTCGATCCCAAAATGGATTGTATTTAACAAGGTAAATATATACAGTTGTGCTTGAAAGTTTAGACACACTCCTGATAAAGAAAATGATACAATATTAACAGTAATTATAATGACAAGAAACTGAAAAAATAAATTAATTAAAACATGAAAAAATTATGATTTGATAGATTAAAATATTGATTTTGAACAGTGATTTTAAAAATAATGATTAAAAAAAAAAACAGTCAAAGACGCATTAGAGCACCTTGCTCATGAATTCACCTCAAACAGGAGCAGAAATCTGACTGAACATTTAAGAAAACACCTGATTGAAGGGATTCCCTCACAGTGTTGCTCTACATTTTAGTCTAGGAGGCCCATCTTGCTGATTTACCTGGTTTCTTTTTTGTTTGTTTGTTCATTATTAATATTTCTGTTGAACCACAATTCAAAATTAATGGCAAAATTTTCATTAAACTTTTTACTATTTCACTGGCAGCTGATTCCCCCCCCCCCCCCCCCCCCCCCCATCTTTAATGGGAGAGTATGTATACTTTTTATGTATTTTCTTTTTTTAAATCTAAGTACTGTATAGGTTTTAGACTGTTTTATATTTAGTATGTTTTTTTATTTAAAAAGCACATACAATATAAAAAAAAACATATTTTAGGGATGCTATGATTCAATTGATCTAAAAACGCCTATATCTGGCGTAGTGATGTCTCGTTAAGACTATATTGTGATCATGGGCGGTTCTAGACAGGGGCCAACGGGGGTCAGTGCCCCTGTAGATCACTTCCTGGCCCATTATGGCCCTTGTACTGATAATACAAAGAAATTCTAATGATGATATGCGCTGGAACAGACTGATAGGTCCTTCGGATCCATTTAATTTGTTTTCTTTAGAAATTCTGTTTTACTTATTATTTAAAAAACAATAAGGTGATAGCTTCAGTGGTATTGAGATAGGATCCCAGATTTCATCTGCTAAATGTTTTTTCAAAAAAAAAAAAAAACCCTCATATATTTACAGCTGAATTTATCAGTTTTTTTCTTGAGTTCTATTCAGATTTAATAGAAAAAAAACAGTAATTTTAACTTAAATTCTGTCAAAAATATGTAAAAATCCTAAAATATTAATATTTATGGACCTAGTAAGACATAGAAATTAAATTAAACCTAATTGAATAGAAATTTCACTCCAAGCAGTTATATTAAAATATTTGAAACCATTTTTTTTTTTTTTTTACTTTTTTATTTCATGCCCCCATGAAAACACACTTGCCCCCTCATGCCCCCTCTTCACCCCCTGGCACATTTGCTCTAGAAACGCCACTGGTCGTGATTAAAAATATATGAATATGAATTCTTCACAGGGCGTTTTAAACAAAATACACACATACACACATATACATATATATATATATATATATATATGTGTATTCAGGCTACTGGATACATCTGGGAACATAAACTCTGGTCATAATTATTGTTCTAACGTCACAGTCTCTGTTTTCTTTCATCTAAAATAAATTGTGGGAGAACTAGTTGGACTTCTGATGCAATAATCCAGGCGGAGGAATCAAACCTACCGCAGCGGGACGGTAGAGGTTTGTCCCGTTGCCTAGATACGAACGCGGAGGGTGGCGCACTCAGCAGACGCATCTGAATGAAACTGGCTCGTCGGCGGCGGACATTGCGGTTCCAAGTATCTCCCGTCATCGAGGAGTGACCTTCCCTGGGCGGGAGCCCGAATGTCTCCAGTTCCGCCGCCGCTCTGTTGAAGAAGCACTAGATGCGAAAGCAGCGCCATTTCTGTCGGCGTCCATGATAGGCGCTGCTACCGCAGCAGATTCCAGAGCTCGAGCTCGGAACGGCAGCGGGAGAGAAGTAGCCGCTCCCCTTTCGCCGCTTCCCTACTCCCAGGCCACGGCAGGTGAGTCAACCCGACCCCCGGGAAGCCATTTAAATGTCTCGCTTCTCTTGCTTTCCGCGCGGCGAGCAGCGTTAAGTTTGTGAACTCCTTCATCTTGTGACGATATGGCGCACATTTGTTTAGGGAGGAAAAAAAACCGTCTGACAGTCCTGTTACCGTGCAGCCGCTGTTCCTCCCCCTCGGTTACAACAACAAGCGTAGCTACGCTAACGTTAGCTTTCAGATGATCCTGCCTCTTCTGCTACTCCTGTTGACATTTATCATTCTGAATCCACCTAATATTGGACTTGTTTGGTGTTTAAATTGGAAACAGAAGCAGTAATGTCAGCGAGCGCAGCCTTCCTTCACCTGCCTGTTAGAAAGTGTTTCCTTATCGGACGATATCCAAAAAACGCAAGAAGGTAAGCTTGGCTAATATATGCGTTCAAATCGGGAAGTTTGTAGGAGAAAATGCCGAGCTCTGGGAAGCTAACTCGGCTAACAGCAGCTAAAGGTCGGTGGTCCAGCTAACCTTGTCGTTTGACCACAAACCGATCTAATTTTCAACATTTAAGTCACAATTCGCCTTTTTTTAAATGATTATTCCTTTCTGCGGCGGCGTTACGTAGCTTGATCTGATAGCGCGGTGTTTTGCAACAAATTGCCGGTGTGTGTGCAGCTCCCCTGACCAGCTGATTACATTTGGCTAATCGTCCTTCTAGTGGTTGTTTTGGTTTTCCTATCCGCTGATTCGCCACACACCATCGCTGGAGGAATCGTTCATATCAGAGGAGAGACTCCATTTTAATGAGGGGGATGTTGTGAAGTGGGAATGGCCGCAGGGCTAAGTTTGATTTGCTGAATGAAGTTAGTATGTTGACAGCGCAGACAGAAACAGGCAGCCGGTGCTGATGTGCAGAGAACGGTCAGCCATGTTTAGAAGCGGCTGCTGCTGCTCTCCCTGTGTCACTGACTCAGGTCTCGTTTAACGAGAGGCTGTGGGTCGCCGATGTGGTGTCAGCGCGCTGCTAAAGCTTCTTATCTTGCCCTTTTGACGTCTCCGATGGGTGCCTGTAAATGCCACCGAGGAGTGACGGCCGGATCAGCCAATCAGATCCTCACAGCCTCCATTTGCTCTACACGTCGGTGTCCGAATCCGCTGCCTGTCACCGTCTGAAACCCACGAGGTTTTTCATGCCCACTCCAGCCGTGTCTCCCCAGCTGTCAAAAGTTGCTCATGCCGGCAGCGATATAGGACACGCTTTTCTCCTTCGTTGTGTGCATGTTGTTGTTTTGAAATAGACACAAACCGTTCAATCTGGACCAGGCCTGCCCAAAGTCAGCCCTGCAGGTTTCTGAGGTCTCCCTGCTGCAGCACAGCTGCTTCTGGTGACTGCAGTTCAGCAAAAGCCTGTTAATCAGCTATTCATGAAAATCAGCTGTGCTGGAGCAGGGAAAGATCTAAAACCTGCAGCACCGAGGACCGACTGGTCATGCCTGAAGACGTTAATTCATGCTTTGCAATAACTTCTTTTCACTTTGAAGTAAACATGAGTTAATATCCCACAATTTACCTGCTTTATCTAAAGAGAAAGGCAAGAACTGTCTGCATTTGGCAGAAATGGTGTAAAAGATTGTTTATCACTAGTGTTGCACCAATACTGATAGGCAGACATGGGAAATGGGGAGTCAACAAGTCATCTCCATGTCATTTGCCCAGAAACAATTTTTACTTGTCCAGTATAATGTTTGATAAATATAGTTCCTAATATTCATTTTTGTATATATATCAATGAAACATGTTTGTTTTTTTAAATGTTTTTTGTAATTCAGTATTTTTTCAGTTTCCAGGTTCCTGGTGTGTATATGCATGCGTCAGATAATGAACTCAAGCCTACATTACCGTGTTAACATGCTTTTCAATCCTTCCTGCACATTCTTTTCAAAGTAAACTTTGCTTTAAACTGTTGTGTGCTTGGAAAAATATAAATTGTAATGTTAAAAATAAAAAAAAAAACTTGACAGGTTAAAAACTTAAGATAAATCACAAGACAGAAATCAATGTCACAAATTAATAACTTTTATTTTAGAGTCACGGTATGTTTATACAAGATAATACTATTAATATAATGTGACTTTTCTAGAGAATCATTATACATAGTTATTTTATACAGGGTTTCCACAGTTTTACATAATTTCAGAATTCACTTTTAACTGACTCAGGATTAGTTTTCCCTGACAAAATAAATGCAAAATAATAACATAACAGGTCACCAATTTAACATGTTTAGCTCTATAACATTTAAATGCACCTCTCCAATGTCTAAGAGAAAAAAATTGAATGGATGACCTGCATCACTGTACAGAACACTGCCATATGATAGCGCTTTCTAGCTTGTTTGTCGTTTTGGTAACTACATCAAAATTACCGCTAGGTGGACAAAAATCACGCCATCTGGCGGAAAATCACATGGCTTTTTCAAATCCCGCACCTTTTCCAAATCACGCGAGAATGTTTACAAAACAACAAAAAATGGCGCCGGCAACGCTTCTGGGTCGTTTTCAGCGAATGTCGGTGATTTTAAAGTAATGTTGAGTGATAAATATTTTTTTTTGCGATCATTGCACTTGCCCGGCGGGCAAATGCAATGATATTTGTACTCTCCCGACAATAAAAACGACTTTCCCAGTCAATCTACCCAGCCAATTGACCAGGTTGCACAGGTTGATTCACGGTAAAGATTGGACTCACCTGCTTCAGTAGGGGGGTACAACAAATACATGACATGGAAATGACTTGTTGACTCCACATTTCCTCATCTCTGCTGATAGGCAATCAAAGGTTCTACTGGATTCACTTTGACAAAGCCATGATGGCAATTATTTTACAGGCCAGTAGTATGCAGTTCTTCATATTTAAATACACACACATCAATTTCAAAAAGATGGTATCGGCCGATACTGCAAAACTCGTTATTACCATAACCTTTATTTTATCTTGATTGAAATGCTGTTTTAGATAATCTTTTTTGTAGTTGTAGGTTGAGTTTTTTTTTTGTACCCATAAAATAATAAAACTGTATTTTTTTGGGGGGGGGGCACGTTTATTATTTATTTTAAAAAGTATATTTTTTTGAAAATTTAAATTTTTTTTGTTGCGTAATCCAATCATTGGGCTCTCATATCTCGGGGTGACATCAGTTCATCACTTTTTGTTCTTGGATGTGTACTTCTAACTGATAAACTGTCTCTCTCTGTGTGATCCCACAACCTGCTAACGTTTAGTTTATTATATCTTCATTGTTTGTTGTGAAAATGATAATTTCACAGCATGTTTCACAGCTGGAATTTTATTGCCCTTTAAATGAAGGTCAGCTACCAGAAGGGATGGTTGAAACCAAAGCTAGCTTTGAAAGTGATGAATTTTATTTGTCATTTTAATTATTAACCTTATGTGAGGGGAAAAAAGATAAATTGGAATTCGTAGGAAAAACTCTAAGATTATATTTTTAAGCCATAATAACGAGCTCTAGTATTTCTAACTGATACAGATGATGCACCGAATCTGATTCAGTTTGCCTAATTTCTAAAGATGACTTATGAACTATTTCTCATGTTTGAAAAAAAAAATAGTTAAAGAAATAGTTTCTGATGTATTATGCCTCCTATCTAAGGCAGAAACAATCAGATTAATAGGGATTGCTGAAATAATCATCTGCTGATTGAGTAATTGATTCATCGTTGGCTGGAGTATAGAGACTCTAAAACATACCTTTAGCTGATAGAGCGACCCACTTAGAGGAGTAATTATAGCAACAAAAAATATATATTCACTTTGCATTTAAGAAAAAAAAAACCTTTTCCTCCTCAAGTGGAAATATTAGAGTTTCACCTCGTTTAATTTAGTAACAATTCTTCTTTAAAGTATATTTGGCTATCAGGTTATTTATCGAAAAAATAATCGACAGATTAATCAATTTGCAAAATAATCGTTAGCTGCAGCCCTAATACACACACACTTTGCATTTAAGATGAAAAGCCTTTTTGTCCTTCAACGCACTCTAGTCAGACCTCTTAAATAACGTCACCTGGTTTAGATTCAATATTAATTCTTCAAGGCAGGTTTGGTTATCCAATTTATAAATGGAAGAAATTATCGACAGATTAGTGAAATAATCGTTAGTTGCTACCTTTCTTATGTCCCTATCCTGAAACATGGCGGCATCTTCAGTATCTTTTTGATTAGCGTTCTTTGACTATATTGGTAGATATGTAGAGGTTTGTTACTTTTAAAGAGGGTGGGGTTGGTTTTAACTGCTAATTGCAGAAGTATTGTTGAATTTAAATTACTGGTTGATTCCTTTTTTTCAAACAGCAACATTCTCTTTATTCTAATTATTAACCCTATAATGCCAAATGTATCATATTTGATACATACGGTTTCTGAAATGTTTTGCGTCTGACACCTTTTGCATAATTTAATGGTAAAAACTTTGCTCAAAATCCTATTGTACACAATCAGGTATACCTGATAACAGAGGGCAGAAGACTACACAAAAAATAATCTTGACTTATCACATAGTAATAAATTATTAATATCAAAAATGTATTTCTGTTTTTTCTTTTTACATATTTTCTTAAAAGGCCAAATAAGGACTTCAAACCAAAACAAGTAATTTTCTGTTTTGTTTTATTCTTGGATCGGGCTTTAAAGGGTTAAAAAAAGAAAAAGTAGTAGTGTGGTGCAACAAGTGGGGGCAGGGCAACATTGTGTTATTCTCTGCTTTGTAGGACTTTGATTTATAAATTTGAAAAGTATTTTTTAAACCATTTGGTTGTATCTTTTCGCCAGCTGCTGGCATACGCAGAGTTTCCCAGTCAGTTGGATGTTTTGAACGCAAACAGGCTTCAGTAATGACCTCCGTTCTTTGAAGTGACTTCATGTGCTGCTCTGTAGTTTAAACCTGTTTGTTTCTTAGAAGCTAACAGCTGCTCTTTTTCTCTGTTTCAGACTGTGCTGGTGAACTAGAGCCGCTCTCATAATGGACCTCTCTGCCTGAGACAGAAACACGTCTTGTGTTTTGCTCAGCAGCTGGGAGCTTTCAGCAGCCATGCCTCACCAGTAAAATCCCTCTTTTTTTTTTTTCCTTTTTTTTTTTTTGCTTAAAGCAATAAAAACCCAACACCATCCTACATGCCTCCCCATGTAGAGCCCCTTACTTACATCCTACTGGAGTGACGCCCCCCCCTCCTCGTCCAGATAGGCTCTGCCTCGTCCTTCTGTTGTTGTCCACCTCCTTCCCTTCAGTAACTACCCATCATGAGGCTGCTGTGCCAGAAAATGGCCTACACCTGAGGTCCCATGCGTCCAGTGAGCACCGATTCGGACGGTCCCGCTCCTCCTGAGAACCTCTCTTGCCCTTACCCCAGTGTGGGAGCTCTGTCTGCTTCAGAGATGTCCTTGCTCCAGTCTCTCGGGCCGGTACAAAGCTGGCTCGGCCAGGAGCTCGAGAAGTGTGGGATAGATGCCATGATCTATACCCGCTATGTTCTTAGCCTCCTCCTGCATGACAGCTATGACTATGACCTGCAGGACCAGGTGGGCTCCTATCTATATTAATATATTGTGTATAAACATAAAATCCCTTTATGTTCTTTGATTTGAAGCCCCTGTCACACTTTGACGATTTAGACCAGCGAATGCCTAACCTGACTCCGCCAGATGGATTTGCTCCGCATATCCATCTGGAAACCTTCCGTTGAAGTAATTTTGGGAAGGGGCGAAAACACTGGTTAGCTGATTGGCCTATGTTGGTGATAGACGGGCCAAATAAACCAATCAGATCAACGAAGCATATGACGTACTAACAGAGCGACGACGAAAACAACCACAAGCCAGGCTACTCTTGCCGAAACCAGTCGGGAGAAGAGCAAAAACATCTTTTCCTCTGAGAAAAGCCTCCAGAGCAGTGTTTTGCTCTTCTTTCAGTGAAGAAATACTCTGTAATTCCGATAAAACTTGCTCGATAGCCACGCTAACGCTAGTTTCATCAGCTGAAGGCGCCATGTTCTTTAGACTGAACTGTCTCGCTTCTCGTTGCGTCACACCTCAACCCGCCTCAAAGCCAACGCTGATTGGACGTTTGTTTGGTGAACGGCTCCAAATTTTCTTTAACAGAGAGTCTCCAGACTGATCTGCGAGTGAAACCTTGAAAGCTCCCGAGATCAGGATGGTCTCACGAGGCTAGCGAATGCCTGGCGTACGGATAATCTGACAAAAACACGGGCATACGTAGGATAAGTTATGGGTACGTTGTGTATAAGTTATGAGCTCGCTGAAACACGTTGACATACGGCAAGTAGGTCGGGAAATTTTGAGCATGTTAAAAATTTCTCTACATATATCAGCGTATGCTCATACGTGGGGCATAAGTTGCATGTAAGTTATCTGATCGTTGACTAGGGGTGTGTATTGGCATGGGTGTTTCGATACGATACATGGCACGTTACGATATTGCATTATCGCCATATATTGCAATATTTTTCCTGCTATCAAAATTGAATGTATAGACCAAAAAGCATCCTCTGTATATGTTCATTAGATGATATTGATCGTTTAGTTATTTTGGTGTATCCGTGTTGTTTAGGGTTTGAGTCAGTCCACGTCTTCCACTGTGACTGCCTCAACTACAGATATAGCGCTGCACAGCTAAAGGGCTCCACAGCGCTATCTGCCAGAGTGGCAGTACAAAGGTAGCCCAATTATTCCCTAAGTTGTAGGTGAAAATGTTTTGCTTTAAAAAAGATCAATACTAGGAACTAAAAGACTGACGTTATACCAGGCAGCTAAAAATCACAATATATTGCCAAGACGATTTATTTTTGCACACCCCTATCGTTGACGCACCTTAAGTGTAAGTTATTCATAAGTCGTGGTGTCTAGTTTATCCAAAACCTATGAGTAACTTCTCCTCCAGACTTCATCCCCATCATAGGGTGAGCGAGACGGTGAGATGGATCCTCCCTACGTTCTTGACCAACAAATTTCCAAGCAGAAATGACGCTTAATCTGCTGCAACTGCAAACCTTCTGGTCTTTTTTTGTTTATTTTTTTGGCGGGTGGCATCATTGGATGCGCCTGAAGGGAGCAGCTTTAATTGATGCTGCGTAATGCCCATGAAATGATGCTTTATGCATCAGTTAGGCTGGCGTTGAACATACTCTATGGACTCGTTATGAATACGCTATTATACGCCCAAAATTGAAAAGAATATATAGAAAGCTCAGCGTATGCCAGCGTTTTAGTAGAATCTGGGACGTCGGGCATACGCTGGCTAAATCGTCAAGGTGTGACAGGACCCTCAGAGAAGCAGGTGAAAGTTTTACTGAAGATGAAGATAATAATTTGCTCAGGAAGTCTTTCATTTCTAGTTTGGTTTTTTAAATGTATAGTTTAGTCAGTTGTCCTTATTGATAATACAGAACTGAAAGCCAACATTAAGGTCATTTATTTTTCATGTTATGTTTTCACTCATCTTTTTTTTGTGTGCGTTTCTTTTTGAAAAGGAAAATGACATCTTCCTGGGGTGGGAGAAGGGAGCCGGGAAGAAGTGGGGCAAGGGCAAGAAAAAAGGAGGGACCGACCTGAGTCTAGAGGAGATAAAGAAGCAAGCCGCAGTGCAATGCCTTCGTTCTGCATCTGATGAAGTAAGTTTGTAGAGATTTAAATCTCTAGGTTCAGAAAGGGTCCACTGACTCCTTTAATAAAGAAACCTTGGTCGCCAAAATGGAATTAAATTTAAATAAAACATGTTAATGGAGTAAATTTAGTTGCAAGCAGAGAACATTTCATAAATGGACACTTGACTAAACAAAAAAGATCCCAGAAAATATTTAAGAGTAACTTTGCTGATTTCATTTTTAATTATTGTTTCAAGTATTTTTTTTTTCAATTTCTTTTACAGACTTTAGACTGGAAAAAAATCGAAATGTAGATAAGTCATTTTTTCTTAAAATAAGTGGCTTTCTTCTTGAATTGAGGAGGTAAAAGAGACATTTTGCCAATGGAACAAGACAATTTACACTTAAAATAAGAAAACACAATTGCATTGTCTTATTTCAAGTGCATATTATCTAAATATTTAATTTTAAGAGTAAAACTACTCATTTAATTGGCAAATCATCTAATTTACCTACTCAAATTAAGGGTAAATACACTTTATTCAAGTAGTTTTTACTTATTTCTAGATTTTTTCCAGCGTATATTTTCATGAACTTTTTCAGATTTAGTTTTGAGTTTTATTCTTTTTCAAATTGCCTTCTCTGCACTTCAAGGCCACTAGAAATGTTTTTGCTAATGTACGTGCAGACCAATAGAAAAGCATCTCCACTCCACCTTCCATCGGAAAGCCCCGCTCCCAGGAGTGTATATACTTCATCTGAAAAAATAGAAATTTGAAAAAATAAAAGCTACAGAAAAATGTATTTGAGAAAACAGCAAAGTTACTCTTACTATTTTTTTTTTCATTCAAAGTTTAATTTCTGAATTTCCTTTTTTCTTTTTTTCTTTTTCAAAAAATTTCGTTTTCAGAAGCTGTTCTTTGCTTGCAACAATAATTGAACAATATGCATTATATACCCTATATGTTCTAAATGTTGAGGTTTTTAATATGACATTAAAGTCGTAGGGAAATCGTATTTCAATGTCAAATCATTCTGGCTTAAACATGTAGCCTATATAAATGTACTCTTTATCAGACAATATTGTCCCAAATATTAGAAAATTTCTTTATAAAAAAAAAAAAAAATCCTGTCTTAAAATCTGTGTTGTTGTTTTTTCGTCATCTTATTCAGGCCAGTTAGTTCTACGTCAGCCTGAACTTCTAAATTCGGCCAATCATATATCAACGGTCATCTGTGAAATGTTTTCGGTCATAGCATCTTGATTCATATGTCGCAGCTAATATACGCAACGATATAAATCAGAATCCTTTCCTTTCCCATTGAGTTGCGTCCCAGTGTTCACGGGGATGGACGTCTGTGTCTTCTGCAGGCGTAGAGCTAACAGAACTGGCAGCGTTGCGAGGCAAGGGCTCAAACATGTACGGCTGGAAGCCTTCTACACCAAACCAAGCTTCTGCCGCCCTGGCGTCCTCTTCCACAACATCTTCGTCCCCGCTTTCCTCCTCTAAATAAAAAATGGATGACGGAGGAGACTCATCCACGACCTCCGACACTAAACTCTCCTCCTCTTGCATGTTTCCTCTGTCCATAGCGTTCCTTGACAGTGTCGTTTCTAAGTCACCAATTTAGTGCTACTTGATCCCAATGGAATTTCCCATTGGGAACCTACTAGCACTAAGTTGCTAATTGGTTAGCAAGATGCTTCCCACAAACCGGCCACAATCAAACTTGCGTGCGAAACGTCTGCCACATCAATCCCGCCCCCTTGATAAACGACCAATCACATTCACTTTATTCACTCGTGCAAAGTCGGGCACCACTTGATAAAATTTCAGAAATGCAACAGGCAATGGCCACCCCAAAAGCAATCCTTGCCACCCCTGTTGCCACCCCACAGAAAATATTAACACTGTTTAAGTTTTTATGAACATTTGCAAAGAAAACAGTCAAATTTTCTAGCGGACTTGAACGCATCCTAACGCAGCATGCTGCTGCTACACTTTTAATTGGTTAAGCTGACATATAATTCCTTTGTGCTCCAAACGGCTCCAAAACAGAACGCGGCAGCGGCACACACAATCATTGAGAAGCATTTCCTTTGATGGTATTTACGTTAATCGGTATTAAAGTTTAACGGGAAGTAAGGGTCATGTTTAACCTCAGTGCTTGTGCTTAGTATTACCTATGAGCATTACTACTGCAATTACTAGTCTCACGAAAAGAACAAATACCGTCACAGTGGCGTGAAGATGCTTAAAGAACATGCTATTAGCAAAATGTTCAGCAACAATCACAGAAGTTGGGTAGAATTATTCATATTCATATTGGTCTGTGTAATGCAGCATATTGGTGCATTGAGAGCCATGTGTATGACTTGCGAGGCAACATTCCTAAAAGAGGACCCTCTGCTTGCTTTGGGGAAAACATTCAAGTCAGATTTAGAAGACCTTAAGCTTGAGCTTCATCAAACGAGAGGGCCGTCTTCTCTGCTCGAGTGTTTTTTTTGGTGTTTTTGGAAACTTCCAGAAAGGTTTTCCATGAACTTTTTAGGCTTAGTAAAATTTGGCTTATGATTCCAGTTAGAACTGCATCCTGAGAAAGAAGTTTCTCTGCCCTTAAATTAATAAATACCCTCCTTAGGTCAACAATAGCAGATGATAGATGAAGTCACCTGGACATACTGAGTGTTGAGTCATGGAGGGCAAATTCCTTAAAGGCACACTATGCAACATTTTTCAGTTAATTAATGTGTTCCATAACGTTTTGGATGATTAAATGAGTAATTTCAGGTTGAACAAAGGTTTTCTCGGCCGCCCTGGTGGTCTGTGGGGGAAATACCGCACTTTCAATTGCAGGAGCCCTCGGCCCGCACCCACAGGCTCAGAAGTCTCGCGAGAGTCGGTCTTGCTTTACGGCGAGAACTGCTACATGCCCCCAGTTAAAAGCATGCTCGTTGCTAGCACAGTGGCGATCTTTGTGCAGTTATGCTACGTTCACACCGGACGCAGCAAAAGCAGCAAAATCGCGTCTGCTGCTTCATTTTTGCTGCTTGTACCAGTTAGTTCTGACGCGCGGCTGAAGCAGCTTTGCTGCTCTGGCTGCACGGTGCAAAAGTGTGTCTGACGCGCGTTGGGCGGAGCTTCACTATCCTTTCTCTGCCTTGCAGCTATATTTGCTGTGATCAGTGGGAATAAAGTAGTTTTAATATGTTTTTAAGTGAGAAAATACACCTGAAAACGTAATCAGTGCAGTCAGTTCATTCAGATTATAATCCTGCCTTCCAATATTTTTTCTGTCGGAGCCGCTCAGACCCCCACATACCAGCGGTGCGCCGACAGTAGGAATCCCTTCAACAGCAGCCTCTGGCCGGGTCGCCTCCTCGCGGTTCACCGCGGCAGCTGGTAGGTGTTTTTCATCTAAATAATCCAAACTGCAGGCAGCAGGATAATAAAAGCCAACATATTCTGCCGGCAGATTTCTGCATTTTAAGTTAATTTAGGCGTCAATAAACTGTTTAAGAGGAGTGATCATAGCGCTCTGATCATCAGCGCTGTGTCTCTCTCCCTGCCAGCTCCCAGATCAGCTTCTCTGATTGGTTGACGCGGCGCGTCGAGCAGCAAAAATTCTATTTTTCCATCTCGAGCAGCGGCGCGTCACGCGCGTCAAATGCTTAAACGCGCCAGCTGCGTCCGGTGTGAACGCAGCATTATCATGGCGGAACCAGCGTGAAAACAGTGAAAGCCCATGTCGGAGCAGGCAAGAAAGAGGAAAAGGGCTCTGGACAGAGAGAGGAGTCGTACACGGGTGAACATCAGGCAAGCTTTTTCCGAATGGCGAGAGCTAAAATAAAAAGAAGGCTGCAAGGCTGACGCGGACCTTGCGTTTCTGCTGATGCGATTGTAAGTAACATTGGAATGGTTTCTCTCTCTCTGTGTGCATGTTCATACTTTCACTGTGTTAGTCATTCGTTGCGTTCGCCTGTCTGCTAAGCTCAAAAGAACCGCGCCTGGCTTGACGGAGAAACCAGGAGAACAGCTGTGCATATTTATGACAGTGCACTTTTACTTTCGCCCTCTGGGGGGAGCCTCGCTGGAAAATCAACACCGGTTGCATAGTATACCTTTAAATATGGAAGACTATGTGAAACATTTTGTTTCATTTAACCAGAACTGCAGAATATTGCTGTTGTGATTGTTTTTGTTAAACTTGGTGTTGTCATATCACTGGGCAGGGGTCAACTATAGTCAGTTTTAAAGGGCTGTATGTTTTTTTTTTTTGTTCTATTATGATTCTTCTTGCGGTACACGTTGTCCTGCCTTGTTCTGACAGGTCCAAATTTACCTCAAGTTTTTGTTTCCTACTGGATTTGATTAATCCAAAGAGCACATTGAGTATTTGTTTACTTCTGTTTTTGCTGTATTCTTAATTTATAATACATTGTACAGTACATCATTGTATACATTTTGAAAAATCAACAACTTTAATTTAATCAATATACATTTTGCGGAATACAATTGTTAGTAATGTAAATGAACTCTTTATGTATTGACCGCCCCAAATAAAACCTTAACACCCCTGTTTTAACAGTCTAGCTCCGCCACTGAGTTGGTGCAGCTCTGCTTTCTTTACATTTAGAAAAGCACCTGTTGAATATTTATTTTCTGCTCTTTATAAACTGACCCAATAAAACAGGGGACATTTACCCCATTTACACTACCCTTGAAAAACCGATCCATGCCGAGACCGGTTCTGACGACCGTTTACACATCACGCTATCTCAGTTCCTCGCCTCCTAGTGACGATCTGCGGTATTACTGCCAGTAATGAAGGAGGAAATCAAGCAGTTGGTAGCGGTAATGCACCAAAAGTTGTTTGCCAACTGCCATAAAACAAGACGAAGAAGGAGGGAATCAAGCAAATCAAAATGGAGGCGCCCGTCACATTCAGAAAGTTATGCTTGATTATTATTGCTGTACTTCGGTGTTATTATTTAAAATGTTGCGTGGAGAAGATTTTGATTGTTGTTTATAGTTGAAGAAGAAGTTGTTCTTCTTCTTCTGTTTCCAGAGGGGCATTACCGCCAACTACTGGAATGGAGTGTGAATCGCGATGTGCAGCCAGATGGAGATGACGCGTTCTGCTCATGCGCTCTTGTTATCAGAGAACCGAGCCAAGCCCACCTCTGGAACTGGTCTGCAGTTAGCTCGGTTCGGTTGTGTCTAGCTCGGTTCAGTTCAGTTTGCTTTCCATTTACACACGATAAGTTATCTCAGTTACTGAGCTCGGACCGGTCTCTGCACGGTTTTTCAAGGGTAGTGTAAATGGGGTAATAGTCTCAGTTTGTGGGACAGTAGAGGAAAAATACAGCACTGTCCTGAACAGATCAGGACATCCGGTCACCCTATACGTAGCAGGGGCCTCCTGACAACAAGTGTGACAGGGGAAAGAAAAAAACTAAAAGTTTCAGAGCTTATTTTACCCGCTTTTATTTTGTCCTTTCAACTCTTCAATAGATTTTGAGGACATTAACCATCAAAAGCCTCTTGATTTCATATTAGAAGGACTCTGGTTTATTAGAAATGACAAAGAAATGAGCTTGCTCATATAAAAAATCCCAATCTTTGAACATCTCATGGAGCATCGTTTTAAGATGAGTCTTCACACTTGGATGGATGAGGAGAGCATTAACCAAAGAAGCGACCAGGGCGCCCCATAGTGGGGCTCCAGATGTAACTTTTTGCTCTGGTTCGGTGGTGTAACTGTTTGTAGCTTCACCCGAATCCCATCTAAAACCATCGGTTTTTAAACCGTTCATCCACAGGATATCAACTTGTAAATGATTAACTAACAATCTGCTCATAAAATTTTTTATTTGAAGGAGAGCTTTATAAGAAAGTCGAGTTAGACGTGTTGGAGCTGCGCTGAGATGATGTATCAACAAATAAATTTAGGCATAGAAGTAAAACGAAAGTGTTTAATCACTTTTATATCCAATTTAAGTGCTTCAGACTAAACAAACTGAATCCCTTATGGCCCGCCGTCTCATGGGCTGTCCTCCTTTTCAGTTAGCAGCCATCAGATGGCTAACTCCTGCACTTTGGCCTCCTTGATCTTTGTCCACTGCTAAACCAGCTGGTTAAACTCTGTCTAATATCAAACCTTATTCAATAGGACCATCTCCACTGCTTCTGATCAGGTCTTGCTCAGTGCCCTCTTCAAATGATGCAATGCTTTAGTGTCTGATTTGAAGTTCTTATGTGCAGAGGACCCTCTTTCCAACACTGCAGCTCAGACACTTCCTATAAGAGTTTATAGAGAAAGCATATGACGGCATTACTCCACTAAACATTCCTCTTTATCCACCCTGAGAGCCTGAATGAAACGGCAAGCATGTATATTTTACAATTGGCTAATATTCAAAAGTCACCTCAGGCAATAATCTCCACCCAATTATAGGAAAAAAATCACAATATGACATGTTGTATTTAATACACATAAGTTGAATAAAACATGATTCAATCAACAACTTAAAGGCAGCATGGAAATATTATATTTATCGTCTGCAGCTGATTAGAAGAACAGAACACTGTTAAAACAGGCTCCATGCATCTCAACAGAAAACTTGCTTTCCACCCTGCCAATCATGTTCTGTCTCACTGAACATGGTGCTTTTAAAATAACGAACATAACTACTAGTTAACTACTCTTAGTTAAAGATAAAGAAATCCAGCTAAGCTTGGTCTGTTTCTGCTTTTATCTGTTCAGAGATCATAGTCCAGTAAAATGGGTCTAAACCAGAAAGGTACCTCTCACCCACAGAGATGGTGTTATCACAGTGGGTCTGATGACGCGTTCCCTCTGCAGCGTTCTCTCTGCTTCAGCTCCAGCAGCATGGGCCGTCGGCCACTCTGGAGAGGCTGCAAAAAAACAGAACTCGGCTGGTAAAACTTTGAGGTTTTGCATTTACAGTAATAGCCATTCAAAATATCCCCACTCTGCTCCATGGGTCCTTGGCTGGTCCCCTACAATTCCTTTAAACATCAATCTTCATACCAAAATATTCTTTCTGTCATGATTCGTGGACATTAAAGCCTGGTTTATGCTCAGAAACCAGTAGTCTGCGCGTCTTGGGGGAACAGTCACGGGTGAACTGTGTGTCGTCCGGTAATGGATGAGGGATTGTAGGCGTCGAACAAGCTCGTCAAACAGACCAACGGACACCCACAATCCTAGCTAGTTCGTGATTGTCCCTCTTGCGCTGTGGCGTGGAATGAAATGGTGCAAACCACGCTTCAAAATCAAGCATGTCTGCGTCATACCTGCGAGAAGCTAACTGCGAAACACTGCTGCGGGAGTATACACAGCCCTTAAGATCTAAAGACAAGCGCCATCTCCTGGTCAGATCCTGTAATTCAGTAAAACGATGGAGTTGCACGCCCAGGAAAAGGAGGGATTCACTCCAGTGGCTGGAAGTTGGAGGGGATTTTGGTTGGGGTTGCAGGGGAGTCTGCTGCCATTCAGCTAGCGTGTGACTGGGAAGAGCCTTTTTGAATGGCTGCTACTGTATGTGACAGGCAAACGGAAACCAGCTGCTGAAAAGACATTTAGTTTTTAATTTGCTACAAGTAGGGCTGGGTATTTTCGCCAAAGTCCTGAATCGATTCGATTTTGATTCATACAGTTCTAAATCGATTAATTTCGATTCGATCTGTTTTTACAATAATGAAAGCGGTTCAACTGTGTTTCAAAATACTCGTATTTTGATTTTTCCTGTCACAATAATAAATAATCAGACAGTTTAAACTAGAGATGTGAACAGAACGGTCTCATAAGTGCAAAATTGTTTGTGAAAAGTGAAAAAGTGAAGCCTCACTCGAGCAAGCGGACGTGACACAGTCACATCTTCAGTCAAGCTATTGGCTTGAAGTAATCTTGAGTGCATCTTTCCTGTTCATTTGAATTCGAATGTCACTATAAAACTAATCGATCTCATTCCCTAGAGATCGATTTTGCAAAAATGTAAAGGAATCGATTCAAAATCGATATTTTTTTTTTTTACCCAGCCCTAGCTACAAGCCATGAATGGGACACGGTGAGGTAGGAACCTTTATGAAACCTCCTAATGGCAGATAATGCGGTGAGGGAGATGAATGGAGGGTCATTTTTACTACAACCTGTTGAAAGGGAGGAAAACCCTTCACCCTGTGGGCCAGAGGTTCATCTCCCAGCAGGACAGTGACCTGAAACAATCCAACCTTTCCCCCTGACCTCAATCTAGTGATTTGCAAAGGTTTCTAGATCTGCAACACTGGCAACGATTTACCCCAAAATGTAAAAAATTGATAAAAATACATAGCTCTAAAAGACCAAATGATAAAAAAAAAAAACACTTTCGTTTTGTCCGTCTGTGGCGAAAACAAACAACATACTGGATGGTTTCTGTTTGCTCAGTGACTAAGCATGAGAACCTTGGAGGGGCAGCAACATATTAGTATGTTGCTCATTGTCGTTTAGGTGAAGCCATGCAGCCCTTTTGTTGAGTGAGTCACTACTTATCAGCAGTGAGTGCATCTGGGTCAAAGCACTGAAACGGGAAGATCTGTACTGTGCTGGAAATGCCTCGTCATCTTATCTGACTGGGCGGCTTTGGCTTAGTTCCTCATCGTTAAGGTTGAATTTTGGATCTGAATTTAAAAAAAAGCCCTGGACTAACATCCATTCCTGTTTCTGAGGAAAAAAGGAAACAGACATTGCTCTGTTCCATCATTCTCTTAAACGGGGTGAGCTTCAGATGATGCAACAAAAGCTGGAGGGTGGGAGGAGGAAGGTCTGCAAGACGAGTGCGGTGTCCTGCTCCTCTCTGTTTTCTTAAAGCAGAAAGCTTTGCACGTGATTGCAGCAAAGCCGTTCAGGTCAGCTGACCGGCATTAGCGGCTCTGCAGGAGGAAACAGAATCACTCTGATTCAGACTGTTTTAGGGCCAGTGGTGCAACAGGAACCTATCATGACAAGCTGTTATGTAAAAAAGAGCAGTCGCTTTGCTAGCGCCTGTGGTTACGTTGGCTACAAACCTGTGTTGTTGCTTCATTCCAGCAGTAATTCACTGCGTTCTTTGTGAAAGCGTTTGCTCACTCCTGCTTAGATGTAGCTCCTGGCTCAGCATGCCTAAACTGTCACAGATCAGCTGGCTGGAGCTGCTAGCTGCTGGCCTTTCATCACTCTTTGTTTTCTTATAGCAGCCATTCTTTCCTCAGGCTAGAGTCTTTCAACATCAGTCATCAACTTATGTGTAAAAATAAGCTGCAGTTCTTTGCTTTTTCTATTGTTCAAATTTGGCAAACTTTAAGATTAATACAACCAGTATTTACAAAAGGTATTACCGGAGCGCAACGTTTTCATACCTGCATTGCTTCAGATGTTGGAAAGATCTCAAATATTTCTCTTGTTTTTGTCTCTGGTGCAGAACTCTGGAATTGAGAGCCTGGTTGAGGAGCTCTGCTCCAAACTTAAGGACATCCAAAACAAACAGAAAGGTATGAAACTGATATTCCTTCTTCAAGTTTTGTTAAAGCTAAGAAACATACAGCTAAACTGTTACTGAGATGTTTTTAATTCAATGTCCAGAAGAGAAACGGATTCAAAAGAAATCGGATGGCTGTCAGTCACCAGAGCGTGCCGAGTCGCCCTCTTCTAAGGACCAGGTGGAAATGTAAGTTAGCACAACAGAACAGATCCATAAAGCCGGGCATACTTGGTACGATTTTTTTTCAAGCGTTGCACGCAGCTACAGCTCACAATGTACGACGAAACTGCAAGGTTTCGTCGTACAGTGTGAGTTCACAGCTCACAATGTATGTTCTCACACGACATGACGCTGTGATGCGATCTACCTGCTCTTACTGTACGGCTAAAAACCACGTTGAACTCAGCTCCGCAGTGAGATGGCGCTACTCCGACTCGTCTATCCAGAATCCAAACGATTAGAAGACAAACATACTCATTCCATTGGCAAACTATCTCATTTACCTACTCAAATTAAGTAATTAACATTTTTACTTATTTCTAGATTGTTTTTTTCCAGTGTGCCTTCTGTTAAATATGATGCTAACTAGAGTGAAACTCGCTGCCTTGGCAATTTGTGCAATTTTGTGCGCTGAAAGCCCTAAAAAGAAAAGGCGACACTGTATTTAGTCAAAGACGTGGCTGAGCAAACGTGGCTACTACGGTCTGTCAACTTTACGGAAAGAACTCCATTTCACTCACACATGCTTCTGGGTTTTCGTCTGAGAGGAAGAAGAATAATCGTTATTTACGCATGCCCACCGAGCGATTTGCTTACGATGGCCGACTGAATTTCAAGCGTTTGATTTTCTGCCGACCCTACGCTTCCTGATCGGGAGGCGGCCGTGAGAGGCTGATCTCCTGTCGTTACCCCCCCATACACTACATGACGTACAATCAGGCTGAAAGTCGGCCTGATCGAAAAATTCTCGCACAAATGGACAATTTCCCCAAAAAGGGCAAAAAAATCGTATATGCCCAGTTTAAGAAACTATGAGCAGTTTGCAGAAAAAAAATTTATCCAAACCAGATTTTTCTAAAGTAAATAGTAAAGTAAAGTAAAGTTCTTAGAAAGTTTGAAACCAGAAAATATTCTTTCATTCAAACAATCCAAAGAACGCGTCATAAAGCTCGGTACCATTGCGGCGGATGGACATTTCCATCAGCAGTCTCTTTACAGATTAAAATGTTTAAAAGCGTCATTGTCGAGTGAGTTCTGTTCCATTATTGTTGCAAGCAAATAGTTTTCCATAGAGAAATTTGAAAAACACATTTTTTTTAATTGAAACTAGAAAAATTCAATCCAGAAATAAAACCTTAAAATATGTTTTAATAAAAAAGAAGGGTTTTTAGCATAATTTTGCTGTTTTCTGAGATTCTGCTTTCTCGAAAACAGTTTTTAATCCCAAGATTTTCTTTTCCTTTTTTTTTTTTTTTTACAGATTAGTATTTGCTTTCTTTTTAATCAAACTTTTCTTTTTCAGATCAAGTTTTACAAATTTCATTCTTTTCAATTTGCATTTTCAAGGCTTTCTGCGATAGTGAGGAGCTAAGACATTTCTGTTGGTCAGTGTGTAGCTCAAAAGCATTTGAATTGGGCTTAAAGGAATAGTACACCCAAAACATGATTAGCCTTCATTTTCTACTCACCCCCATGCTGAACAACACTCTGGAGTACTTTTTTGATATCTCAAATGCATCTGGAGATCTGGGAGGCTTCTTGCTGTCTGCTGACATTCAAATAATGGAGGTCTATGGCGCCCGAGGCAGAAAGGTCCATAAAAGTCCACAAAAAACGTGTCAATATTCCTCCATACTGCTCGTCCAATGTATTCCAAGTGTCCTGAGTGGGTAGCATCCAGAATTTACTCGAAACAAAGTCATTTAGAATGTTTTTAGAGCATAAACAGTAGTGTATAGGATTTCCTGAAAGCGCGCACCTGCGCGATCACGACGCTATGGAAGCCGGCAGACCAAACCAGATGAAAGTGCGCATTCAGCGTCTGCTCTGCCGATAATGCAAGCGTAGAAGAAGAAATGTGCTGTTTACCTGTGCAAAGAAAGAAGCAACGAAAGAAAAATGTCTGAGGACTTCAGTGTTGAGGAAGAGCATGAGTTCATCTGGTTTGGTCTGCCGCGGTTTCTGTAGCGTCGTGATCGCGCAGGTGCGCGCTTTCAGGAAATCCTATACACTACTGTTTATGCTCTAAAAACATTCTAAATGACTTAGTTTCGAGTAAATTCTGGATGCTACCCACTCAGGACACTTTGAATACATTGGACGAGCAGTATGGAGGAATATTGACACGTTTTTTGTGGACTTTTATGGACCTTTCTGCCTCGGGCGCCATAGACCTCCATTATTTGAATGTCAGCAGACAGCAAGAAGCCTCCCAGATCTCCAGATGCATTTGAGATATCAAAAAAGTTCTCCAGAGTGTTGTTCAGCATGGGGGTGAGTAGAAAATGAAGGCTAATCATGTTTTGGGTGTACTATTCATTTAAAGTCAAGAGAAGGTGATTTTGAAAAGAATTCAATTCATAAAACTCAGATCAAAAATATAAAATCAGTGTAAAAAAGGTTTTGGTAAAATATTTGAAAACATAACATTTGAAAGAATAACATTGGGGAAAAAAATTAGATCTGGAATACATTTTTTTTTTCGTCAAATTTCTATTTATATAACCTGTTCTTTGCTTTCAGCAATGATGGAGCAAAATTAAATCTATACATCCTTAAAATGTTTTGCCATATCCTCAATAGGAGCAAAATAATAAATTTCGATACTTTATGGATTTTCTACATGTTTTGGATCTTTTCCTTTTGTTTAGCAATAATGAAAACTTTATTAAAGTATTTCGATAAACTGGAGTTCAAGATTTCTTCAAAAGAGTAGTTTTCAAGTTTACTTTGCAATGAATGTAAAATTTGATCAATTTTAGATAAACTTCAATACATTTTTTAACCTCATTACTATAAAATGATCTTATCAATGTTAATTGCATTATTTATAATCTATTATTTTAGCTCTTTAGCATCATATTCTTGTAAATATGTTTAAGGCATGAAGCCTGATAAAGTTTGATAAACTTGTTACAATTGAGCCGCCTTTTCTGTTTCTCATGTGACTGCAGGTATTATGAAGCATTTCCCCCTCTGTCCGAAAAGCCTGTTTGTCTCCAAGAGATCATGACGGTGTGGAACAAGGCCAAGGCCTGCACTTACTCCAGTTCATCATCCTCTGCAGCTCCACAAACCAGCACAGACACATCTTCCCCCAAAGACTGCAACAGTGATGGTGAGGCTGCTAAAGAGCGAAACCTGGAGGCGTGTAGTACCATCCCTACTGCGACCAGTGAGAGAGGTCAGCAACGCCGGGGCAAGAAGGAGAAAGAAAACCGAGGCCATGGCGGTGCGGCAGCGGAGGAAAAGTCCATCAGCCACTCCAAGAGACAGATGAGACACAGATCTGAAGGCAAATACCGACCCAGATCCTGGTCTTCTGGTTCCAGCGAGGAAGGCTCCAGCTCCAGTGGGAACCAGGCTGACACGAAATCATCAAGAAGCAAAACCGTTAGAGTAAGGCACAAATCCAGGGAGGCTGCAAAGAACAAGAAGACACGCAACAACGGGCAGGTGAAGCTGCAGATGAAAGTTGGCGATAAGGAGGAAAGAAGAAATGCGGGGGTGCGCGGTAGCAGCGCGACTGGCGGAGCTGCTAAACAACCACAGCTTTACAAGAGAGGAAAGAGGCCGCTAAAGGAGATTCGTAAAGAGCTTGGCTGGCTGGAAGTCAGAGAGTCTGCAGTGGAGGCCAGAAACAAAAAGGAGTACAAGGAGGAGCCGCTTTGGTACACTGAGCCCATCACTGAGTACTTTGTACCATTCAGCAGCTGTCAAAGTAAGCTGGAAACAAAATATCGCAGCAAGGTTAGCTCTCCTGATGGCTTCGGCTTCTCTGCAGATATGGACAGGCTACCAGAAAAAATCCAGGGAATCTGCATCGCCAGCGAGAACTACCAGCGGACCTACTTAGCGGCGGGCTCGTTTGTGGACGGGCACTTTGTGGAAGCGTCCGGCGATGCGGACGATGAAGCTGCTGACCTCAATGAAACTTCCTGCTGCCCTCAGCCAGAAGATAGTAGAGATTTAGATGACAAGCATCTGTCTGAATTCACCGACTTCTATGAAGTTGACATTTATCAATCCATATTGGATACTAGTGCCTCAGATGCGATACAAGAGAGTCGGATCTTAAGCCTGATTCGACAGAAAAGCAAAGAACAAGGAGAAAACGAGGCAGAATGCTGTTTGGTGTTAGACGGCCTTGAGCAGCAAGGGGGAAGTGCAATACAGGCAGAGTCACAGGAAGCTTCGGGAACCGTTGGGTTTCTAATGGACGACCTAGAAAACATGGTACAAGTGTGGGGCTGTTACTCACAGTCTTCTTCCGAAGATGTAGATGGCGAAGGTTTCCTCGGAGATTCTCCTGTTCGGCTCTCTCCTCTGCTGGACAGTGTCTCATTGACCCTGAGCAAGCTCTCTAGACCTCTGGAAGAACCGCCAGTACCTGAAGCTCCCAGCGAGCCATCTGGATTGGATCCATTCTGCTTCCCTCTTTTCAAGGTCCAGTGCGACAGTGCCACCTTCCCTTTCCCCCGCGACTCGCTTTCTGTCGGTCACGAAAACATCCCCATCTCTAGTAGCGGTCTCGACCCGCATTCTAACAAACAGTCCCGCTTGCTGATATGGACCAAAAATAGTGCCTTTGACGAAACGGAACACTGTTCTAACCTATCGACGCGAACTTGTAGTCCGTGGTCCCATTCGGAGGAGACTCGGTCGGACAATGAACAGGGATATGCTCTAGCAGAGGACGCTGCTCAGATTGGCCGAGACGAACCGGACCGAGTGATCCCTCCTCTTTCGGGTACATATCTAGAAGATGAACTATTGGAGTTTTTGCAAGAGGACTCAAGCAAAAAGAATGAAAAAATTTGCGTTAGCACAGCACCCAATCAGACCTTTACCAAAAAGTCCAAATTGGAGTCCGTTTGCGGCATAGCGCTAGAGAAGGACGACGGCAAACAGTACAGCACAGACATGTTTTCAGACAACGCAAACCAACAGAGTGACGATTACAGCTCAGGGATCATAAAAGACATTTGGACCGCAATCGGAGACAGGAAATCTGCCGCGTCAAAAGACGGAGCAGAAAAGCCAAGCGAGGGACTCTTTTCAGACGAGTCGGGCACTTGCTGTTGCCGGTGTCCAGAGGTCCAGGCAAAAGGCGTTCCGGTTCAGGGGCCTCAGAAAAAAGCTGTGCAGCGATCAGAGTATCGGCTCTGGGAAGGCAAGAAAGACGAACAGGACTTAGCCAAAAACAAACTCTCCAAAGTAGATGCCGCTGGGGATTACATGACTCCGTCCAAGCCTTGGGACTTGAACTCTGACAAGGAAAGTACATCGTTCATCCTTGGAGGGGTGTATGGAGAGTTGAAAACACTAAGCGGCGATAAGAACTGGGCCGTCGTGCCACCGAGTGATACTCAAGAGAGCTTGCTACAGTGCACCACTGCGGCCACTTCCAGCTCAGACATGCTCACCATCACTGGCAGAGATGTGTTCATGAACGCAGGCAGCTGCTTCGCGCCCGGACACCGGCCCCTATGGAGGCCCCTCGTTTCATTCGGGCAGAGCGATCAGGCCATCAGGGGAGGCGGTGATGGATTGAATAAGGGATTTTCTTTGATCTTCCATGAAGATTTGCTTGGATCTTACAGCAGCTTGCGTAGAGACGAGCAAGATTTAGAATATCCGTTTGCATCCTTTAACCTGAATAACCCCTTCTCTCAAGTCCTCCACGTCGAGTGTTCGTTTGAGCCTGAGGACATGGCTACTTTCAGTCCGGGATTCAAGCCCAAATCCATTCTTTGCTCTGATTCCGAGAGTGAAGCCTTCCAAACTCGACTCTACGGCATCAACCGGACGCAGTATAGAGCCATTCGCATTTCACCCAGGACTCATTTCCGACCAATATCAGCCTCAGAGTTGTCTCCAGTTGGAGTTAGCGACTCGGAGGCAGAGACTGACAAAGAGGAGATGAGTTTTCCCGTAGTGGCGCCAGTGGACGTGTTTGATGATCCTCAGGCCGACCTCAAACCTCTGGAGGACGACGCAGAGTGTGAGGGGCCTTATTACGGGAAGTCAGAACTGGAATCTGGTAAATTTTTACCCAGATTAAAGAAGTCTGGCATGGAGAAGAGCGCCCAGACTTCTTTGGATTCACAAGAGGGTTCAAGCACGCTTCTGCCGATTGCCGAGCAGGAGAGCGGCTTGAGCTGCAAAACAGCTGCGTCGAGCGCAGGCGGACAGGCGGATGTGGACAGGACTCAACCGGAAGAATCTTCAGAACCGAAGCAGTCCAATTTATGTTCACCAGCTGGTCAGATCCCCAAGTATGGGATCGCCTACGACTATGTTGGCGACATGCCAGAGGTAAGGATATCTTGGAAGTTCTTAACCCAGTTGTTGCAGATGGCGTAGTGGTGAATTTTTTCCAGAATCGTTGATCTGTGCTTCTTCTTTGTCTTGTCTAGTTTCCTCTGTTAAATAGAAGCGGGCAGGGAGGAATGGGCGGCCAGCAAGACGAGTTCTGGTGGCAGAACACTATTTGTTCACCCCTTTTCCCTGGATCTCAGTGTACAGGTAGGTCCAAAACATGATACCTTCTTTAACATAACTTCACATCATTAGCAATAAAATTTCATTGTGGTTGGAACAGCTTTCCCATGTCATGAGATTTGAAATATTTTCTTATAGGGCTGGGCGATATAGAAAAAAAGCTTATCGATAAAAAAAAATGCATATTGATCGATATCGATAATTATTGAAAAGATTTGAAACCATATTTTATGTGCAGCTCTGCCTGGACTTTTTATAATATTGCTAAATGATTTAATTTTAATAAAAAAACACAAACACAGACTTCCAATTAAATCTTTATTTAACCAACTTTTTTAACCATAACAGAATTGTTTTAAAGAAAAATAACTTAAAAGACCTGAGTTATGTTATTAAATACTGACAAAGAATAAACTAAAGTGACCAGAAAAGTGACCAAAATAAATATAACAAATAAATAAATGCCCCCCCACCGCCGCCGCCCCCGTTTACTGCTTTAACCTGAGTTATTACTTTGAAGTTGCTGGCCCCTCAGCATTTTTATCTCAATTGTTAGAACTACGTGGGAAACTGCCCAGAACTGAAAATATATATATATTTCCCGAAGATTCCTCGGAGGAGAGCCGCGTCGGGGCCTACACAGCTCGTACTCCTGCGGCTGTGAGCGGCTGAGATGATAAAAAAAAAAAGTTGGTTGTGTTATCAGACTTGGTTTTCACTGGTTCCCGACACATTTTCCAGATGACTGTGGTTTGTTTTTGGTCCGACTTGCCATGACCGAAATACTGCCAGACTGCCGAACTACAAAAACCCTTCTTTGGAACAATTTCCTCCGCCTCTCCTTGCTGCACAGCTTCATGTGCTCTGTGTTGTGGTTTGAGAGGGCGGCGCTTGGTGACGGCGTGCCTGGGTCCGCGATTGTGATTGGTTGGGAGGAAGCAGTGACTAGCATAAACCTACATGCTAGGCTACAATGAGAAGGAAGGAAAACTGCGTTTCTTTTTTATCGAACTTTTATCGACCCTCTTTTTTTCTATTGCGCCACACGTCTATCGATCAATATATATCGTTATTGAATTATCGCCCAGCCCTATTTTCTTACATATTCAGAGTAGAGGGAGACCGATGCATTGGCCAGATGATATTTTCATATTTTTTTGTGTTGGCTGATTCATTAGTGCTTTTAGCAGCGATGCCTTACCCCCAGATACCACATACTCCGTCACAGCCTCGCTCGCCTACGTCGTACTTATGTTATGTTAATCAATGAGAGCTTTTCCACATCTACCTCTACTACTCCGCAATACACTGTCCATGTATGTCTTCTTTGTACTTACCGTCAAAATACGGAGTCAAGCTGTTTTTTGCTCCGCTCTGGCCAGGGCAAGATCCGCAATTGCAATCGCACCAAACAGGACAAAGAACGGCGAGAAGATCCGGTTTGTCAAGTTATAGTAACGATAGATCGTTAACTACAAATTAGAGCATAATTCTTATAAATTCCCAAAATCTAAGGACGTTTAATTAAATGATTGGATGCAAACTATTGGTGCTTCAACATACCAGGAAGCAGATTTCTCATCTCAATCAAAATATTAATTTTACATCGAGAGGCTTGAAAGTTTAATGAAATCCAGTATAAGGAAACTTCTTGTTGCGGGCATGGATGAAGAGATGCTGAGTTTGGGAGTAGATGATAGATAGATCATACTATGTATGATCCTAGTCATCCCCGTTACAATAATCCACAACAAAAGGAAAATATTTGGGCAGAAACTGCACATATGCTGGATACTGATGGGGAGTTTTTTAATGTTTCATATTAAATTAAGCTTTCATTTCCACATGTTTTGCTCCTATTAATTTAAGAAATAATATCATGCATGTTCTCCTCGGGCTCCAAGGATGTCGGAGCGGAGCAAGACGGGAGGAACGGCGGAGGATGTAGGCTTTGTTTAGCACAGGTAGTCTGGAGTGCAGTGGGAGGTCACAGAGGATGTGGGATTTCGGGCTTAAGGTCAATTATTGGTGTTTGCATTGCAGCTCCCTGCATTTGCTGTCCACTTTTCTTTGATTCTTTAGGAAATGATTCATTTCGTGTAACATTTCTTATCATTGTATCCTTTTAATTATGGCCTCAAGAATCGCTCCCCAAAACAAACGGCAGCACTTTCATTTCAAAAACCCGTTGATCTCTAATTCAGAGTAACGGCTTCAGTTTGTGAAATCAACACAATTATCTGACTGTTCACCCATTCAGGTTTTGTTTTAACATATTCTTTTTTAGCTTTAATAAACTAGCCTTAATAAAGCATAGTCCCATGCTGTCAGGTATTTATCACTATGAAAATAAAAATATCTGCCATAACGGGCATGACCTAAACTGGCTTAGCTCTTTATTGCGGGACACTAAAATGTTAAGATGTCCTGGGCGACGATCTTAGATCAAAAGTAGATTTAATTTTTAATCAAGTTCCTAATTTGGTTCCAGTGCACTTTGTTCTACTTCATACTTGGTAATTATATGCTGCTTGTTTTGTTTTATTTTTATTTCCCAAGACTTTGAACAGCAGATTCATAAATGTTGCACTAAAATAAGAACTTGCTTTCATGCTGCCCCATAGTGACATCTAGTGGTCATATGGGGTTTTACAAGTTGCATATAATGCATAATGCAGATAACAAAATATATTATTTTTGATCAACAAATATGTACAGAAATAAAAAGAAATTGAAAAAGAATTTCATTAAAAAAATCAAAGCTAAATTTTTCTCTGAACCCTTTGAATGTTAAAGATCACTGATAAAAGTGCCTTAATGAGATAGTTGATGTAAGATTAGAAGAGAGAGATTTGCTCTCAGTTCATTTCCTCTTATCGCCATTTAATCCTTTACATTTATCCACAACATTTGAGGAAACAGTGGAAAAACATCAAGTGTTCAGTCGTTTCTTTAATTAGGCCACAACCAATACAGCAGTACTCAACATTAATATTAAATCACCGGAATGTATTTTTCCGTGCTGAATATATCTTGTTTATAATGTCATAAGATACTACTTTGATTTTTCATTAAGAAAAAAAAAATCATTATTAACCCCATTTTATTCCACGGTCCTTAAAATGAAATGACAAAAAAGTAAGTGTAAGGAAGCGTTACATGTACCAAGAGATTTCTGATGTTAATTTATACTTTATATAATATTCTAATATTTTTTTTCATAATGTCTGAATTTCCCAGAAAATATTGTTCAGAGAAACCATCATAAAAGCTCAGTTATAGATCCAATAAGAGCTGCAGGATGTTCATTTGGAAGCAATATCAGATTTAGAAATAAATTCTTTAAAAGGTAAAGTAGACCATTCAATTCAGTTTATTTCTATAGTGACAATTCACAACACAAGTCATCTCAACGCACTTTACAGTTCAACCAGTCAAATTGATTCAAAGTTTTTTATCTAAGGAAAGCCAGTTGATTGCATTGACTCTTCAGCAATCCCTCACACTAAGCATGCTTGTAGCGACAGTGGAGAGGAAAATCTCCCTTTTAACAGGAAAAAAACCTCCGGCAGAACCAGGCTCAGTGTGAGCGGCCATCTGCCGAGGCCCACTGGGGTTCAATGAGACAGAAGCAGACATAGAAAAAGAAGCATAGATACAAAAAGCAGCTGTAAAAGACGGCCCGTCCAGGAAACACTCAGCAAGGCAGACGAGCTCCCGAGCCAGCTCCCACGTCAGAGGATGAAGAGAGCACATCCAGTTAGTCACAGTCAGAGAAACAGGATTACACTGAAAAACAGGCCGATCTCCAGCATCTATAGACAAGGGTGTTTTACTTTTTTGGATTGACTGTGACCTGGACGACTGAGAACATTCGCCAGCAACAGTTTAATTGTATTTTAGCTTTAGATGAGGAAAGACCATTAAATGTTGCTAAAAGATGAAGCACAGATTTCCCCTCATAGAATACTTGATGCAAAAACAAAACACAATCTCCAAGCTATCTAGAAGAAAATTTTATTTAAAAACATATTAGTGTCTTATTCTGTTGTGAAAATTCAAATCAAATGTTTTTTTTAAAACCTAATAAAGCGTCTAAGCCTGGTATGTATTTTTCTACCACCACTGAGACCCGGTTTAGAGGTTCCTAAGAGCTGCAGGTTGCAGAACCCTGGATTAAGAAACTGAGGTTAAAGTTCACCCTCCAGAGAGCAGAGCTTCCTGGGTCCTGGCTGAATTCAGTTAACATCTGAGATGACATGTTTCTTATTTTTGCTTAATAAATAAGCTGAATTAAACTGAAATGCACGAACAGAACTGCAGTCGAAGCTGGTTCTTCCTTCTTAGTGGTTTTTATTAGAGGGAGGGACATTATTAAGGCCATTGCTGGGGAAAAAAGTCAACCTCTGCTGGTGGTTAATTTTTAGCACCACGCTGCAAAAAACATCTAGAAATAAGTAAAAGATGTCTTAAATTAAGTGTATTTACCCTTAATTTGAGCAGCCGAAGAAGATGATCTGCCAATGGAATGAGTATTTTTACTCCTAAAATAAGATCATTAGATAATATACACTTGAAATAAGAAAAAGCAATAGTTATTTTTCTTATTTTAAATGTAAATTGTCTTGTTCCATTGGCAAAGTGTCTCACTTACCTCCTCAATTCAAGAAAAAATGCACTTAATTTGAGCAAAAATGACTTGAGCTGTTTACTACTTGAGGAAGTCGCTATGTTTGTGTGAGCGACTGGCTCAGTGTGGGGCGCTCGGCTTGCAGTTGGACTATTCCAACCTCCACCCTCACTTTGATGCTTTTCTTTTCTCTCTAGGGAGCAGCAACGTCTGACCTGTCCAGTTCATCAGAGAGCATCTTTCACCAAGAGAAGAGCTTCCTCTGTTCTTGGGACTGGACGTCTAACCAGCAAAAGATTCAGGAAAAAAAACAACCCTAACGTAGGCTAATATCTGAGAAACGTCTCCAAAAAACCCCAACGCATAACCCTGTTGGCTTTTCATTTACTAACTTCAAAACAAAAACAAGAAGAAAAAAAAACTTGTGTAATCAACAATCAGATCAACAAAATGAGTGAAAAAAGAAAACTTTTGAAAAAAAAAAAAAAAAAAAGTTCTGTCTGTGAGTGATGCCATGATTATTCTGCACACCGGTCCTTTCTCAAATCTCCCACTTAGCTTGTAGAAACGTTTTTGATTTCTTTAGTTTTTTTTTTTTTTTTTTTTTTTTGGGTTCTGTTCCCACCGTTCCGACAGGGAACCAGGTTCCGGCGGGCGGTGCCGTCTGAATGGTTGCGCATGTTCCTCTGTCCGTCCAGCCAGCCGCACTCCTGTTTTTAGTCGCGTAAATCGACCGCTATCACATCCTCTACTTTCCACGTTGACTTCAGAGAGAGAATAAAGGACAGAGTAGAGGTTTTTATTTTAGTTCCGTAACGATTTCAGATTTAATTGATCTAGTTTGTACAACTTTCTGAATGTGAAGTAGAGAATGTGTTGAGCTTTCTGAATATCCTCCGCTTTCCCTGTGTGTGAAAAGTTGTCTGATTTCTGAATGGTGATAGTCTTTTAAAGAGATAGTAGTAGATATAGTGTGGTTTGTGAGGTAAATCTTAAAAAGAAAACCATTAATCAGAGTTTTTTTTGGGGGGGAAATGCAAATAGTTTAATTCAAACTGCAATTCTGTTCAAATTGGTTTCATAAAATAAAGAAAAAAGGAGGTGGCGAGACTACAGATATTTTAGTTTTTCCTTTTATTCTTATCTCTATTTTTGGTGAATTCTATGGTACAAAATTTTGGTG